TACTTTTTAACAATAACAAGTGTTGTTTGTTATAGATTATTGACTACAGCAAGGTATCAGAAGCCAGCACCAGTGATTCTAAAGCAATCCTTGACAAACTAGTSGTGTGTAAACTCAATGGAGGACTAGGTACTACCATGGGCTGTGTTGGAACAAAAAGTCTGATATCAGTTTGCCAAGATTTAACTTTTCTTGACTTGAACATTCAGCAAATTGAGGTATAGACTTTTGCTTGTAATTAGTGTAAATGACTGCTAATTGTAAAAAAATAATTTTGTTATAGATGGCACCTCATCTTACTCCTGGGGGGGGGATAACCTTTTACAGAGTAAAATCACTAAAAACGATACCCTGGACCCCGGGATCTTACTTACATTGTGTGCAATATTGCATACTATAAACTTGTATAATATTATATTATTGCAGAGATATTGGTAAATATGCAAGCTATGGGTATTGCAAGCTTACAAGCCTGTCAACTAACCTCATCTTCCTTAATCCTGCCTCACTTTATATAAAATAATTTAAATCTCTTTTAATGATTTTTTCTAGCATCTGAATAACACGCACACAACCAATGTGCCTTTTGTCCTGATGAACTCCTTCAATACACATGAAGAAACTGTAAAGACACTCAGGAAATATGCAGCTTGTAATGTCAATATTCACACTTTCAACCAAAGTTGTCATCCTCGAATTGGCACAGAGTCTTTGCTGCCCCTTGCCAATACATATGACAAAAACCCTCAAAGGTATGTCCAGTATCTAGAAAATGTATGTCCAGTAATATTAGGGAATTTCGCCCATCTCTAATCCCTCTGTCTGGATCAGTGCCCCATGTAGCATTATGCATCCAAAATTGTCCTGACACATAAACAGCTAAATGTATGATATCATAGAGCAGATTTCGTATAAGTGGGAAGTGGATGGTACTGTACTGTGACCKTAATCGTACTGTAACCAAATTATAGTACCTCATTGGTTCACCAAAATTGTGCAGGCCAGGTCCGGTAACTGTGCGGTAACCGTGCGGTAACAGTGTCCCAGCCACTCATACAAAATCCGCTCTATAGATGTCTCTTGCAGCTGTAGACATCATAGGGAAAGGAGAAAAATGAATAATGTTGTGTATGATTATGTCGAACGAAATTTTAGCACTCTTCATCATTCAACAGATCTGTATTTTTTTATAATTATTATTTTTGCTTAAAAAGGGGAACACTACAATATTGTTTGAAAGTCCAATTGAAAGCCAGAATTATGAAGATATAATTTTTTTTTTGATTTTAAGAACTTAAGTTCTCTTAACCTTTAGGTGGTATCCACCTGGTCATGGAGACATCTACACATCATTTTACAATTCAGGACTCCTTCAGAAGTTTCTTGATGAAGGAAAAGAGTATATGTTTGTGTCAAATATTGACAACTTGGGAGCTTCCATAGACATGTGTATCCTTTTGATTAGAATATAGCTTAATTCATTTTGAATGCTCCATGTACACATACATTGCACTTACAAAGTCCTCTCTCACTAGACTGATGTCATTTGTCGTCATTGTGGTTGCATTTTACGACTAAAGCCCCATGAATTCAAGTTAATTTGAAGGAATATTTCACCATTCAGTGTTTACTTAATCCCTAGTGCAAATACTGGGTAGGATCCTATGGGATCCTGCCATCCTAACCAGGATCTTGTCAGGATCCTGTATAAGATCCTATTCCYACTTAGTGATCTTACATGAGATGTTATCCTCTGCAAAATCCTATTCCTATGCAGTATCCTGTTTCTACCTAAATAAGATCCTACAGGATCCTGTCTAGGATTTGCACCAGGGATGGACTCAATTCTGCAATATGTTGGGACTATAAAATTTAAGATAAATCAGAAGTTCTATTATTTTGAACATGTTTGGTGTTTTTGCATGACAAGTAAGAGTTGCTCTAAGCACTGTTTAAGTTCCTTTAACTTTGCTTAGCTATCTTGAACTTTTTGTTGAGTCACAAGGAACAGCAACCTGAGTTTGTTATGGAAGTTACAGACAAAACCAGAGCTGATGTGAAGGTATGTAATTTAGGTTACGGAACTGGAACTGGTCAGYGAGGCCGGTGTATTTACGAAATGTATTTAAGTGTGTAAATAATGCATGAATCTTGCTGATATTTAACAGTTTTCCTAACTTCTACATGACTGAATTTTTTAAATTGRCAGAACTGAGTTTAACATTAAAATAATCATGGAAATAATAGTACTCTTTGGGTCTGAATAATCAGTTCTGACTGGGAGTGACATTATTGTTACAACCCTTATTCCTTATGTGAAATTATAATATATTTGTTTTCCTAATGTGTTCAGGGAGGTACCTTAATTGAATATGAAGGAAGGCTTAGGCTGCTTGAAATTGCACAAGTTCCAAAAGCTCATGTAAGTGTCCTTTCAATATATGTAAAATGAGTGAATGAATTATTTTGTAATGATTTATTTAATTTCAATTTCCCTGCCTTCTCTGTCCTCTGATATAAACGCGTTGGGAGTTGAAAAACACGAGAGATGCAAGCTTAGAAACACGACCATAGTGAGAACAGAGGACAGAGACACAAGCAGCTGTTTTATAGTTCTTTTATAWTTTTTTTCTGCCTATTTTGAGCATAAACAATTTTTTTCAGCCAACCAGAGCGTGCTTTATAATTTATATCAAAAATTTTATAACTACATAATAGCTATAATAATTGTACATCCTTTTTTGACCACACCAAGGACCATTAGACCAGAGCCATGTTTCTATTATGTGTTGTTACCCTCTGTTTATAACCTATTTTTAGGTAGATGAGTTCAAGTCAGTGAGCAAATTTAGGTAGGTCAAAGTCTGAGCTTCCTTGGTAGAAATTGCTGGTAGTGCACAGTCATGTGATTCCTAGCCTGCGAAGTGGCTCTAGTGGAGGAGATCTTGTTTTTTCCCCTACTCCCCCCATGCCCATCTCCTAGAGCCRCTATGCAGGCCATGTGATTTCAAGAATGTACTAAAGAAATCATTTACAGTTATTCTCTTAATATTGTTTTTAATAAATGAATCAACCATGTTCAGTTATGAGCTGTTACTTTTAAAATTAACGTATGTCCATTTTGTTAGGATTTTCAACACAAACAATCTTTGGATAAATTTGAAAGCCATCAAAAGGCTTGTGGAGGCCAATAAAATGGACATGGAAATCATTGTCAATAACAAGGTAGGAAGAGAAGGRCCATTTCTAAATTATTTATCTCTCCCTAACGTGTTCTGCATGCCTCGAGTATTATTCAATCAGACTATCAATTTAATAAAAAAAATGAATAAAAAATTTACCTATAGTTTGTTTGCTCTTTCTGTTCTTTTTGTGTTTTGATTTTTATCTTTTCCCGTAATCTTTACTTGCCCTTACCTACTTCCTGTCTTTTTCTGAGAGCACATTCAAGGGAAGCAGAAGAAGTAGGTAGGGAAAGATGGAAAGAGACTACTATAAACTAGAAACACAAATTAATTTAGAAATTTTATTCTCACTTTCGTCCTCACTTTCCATTATTGAAGTCCTCTTTTYACTTCATTTCATCCTATTCTACAATCCTCCCTTCCTCTTGTCCTTTTTTTGAGTATCATCTTCATCTTCCTCCTCAGTTCATTCCATCCTTCTTCGTGTGTTCTCCTCTTCTCATTTCCTCAAGCTCTCTTTCTTTCCCTTTCTCACTTCCTCCGTCAAGTACTTTTCTTCAAAAAGGGCTGAAGATACCTGTTTAGACTTCATTGCTTACCTCCAAAGTGGGACATGACTGTTTTCTTATTGGCTGAGTTCATTTTTCTTTCTTTTTTTTTACACTTTAGACCCTTGATGATGGTGTGCGCATTGTTCAGCTGGAAACTGCTGTTGGATCAGCCATGAAAAATTTCAACCATGCTATTGGTAAGGTCTATGTCAGGGCGCCCAGGCTCAGCACTTGTGTATAATAGTTTTGGTACTTCAAAACTTTTAAGATGGAAATTATRCAATTTATCGCTGGCAGTACTTTAAAACCAGAATTTGAACCTCATACTTAACTTGTGGTATGTCTTTTTTTTCATCAAAAAGGTATTAATGTCCCTCGCCGACGCTTTCTTCCTGTCAAAAGGACCTCAGACTTACTGCTTGTGATGTCAAATCTGTATGAAATGCATCATGGTCAATTAATTATGAATCCCCAGCGATCGTTTCCTAATGTTCCTCTCATTGAGCTTGGGTCCTTCTAYAGAAAGGTACTAAATACTATGTGCAATTTGGTAATTTATTGTAGAAAACTGTTGATAATATGAATATAGGAATTCAGTTCGTATTCTTGTTTTAAAGGCATATACAATATATATAATATATAATGTATATGATTTCAAAGAGGCAAGATTTTGCTGTAACTCTGAGTTTCGTGCTACGCACTCATCAGAATAATAGTGATTAAATACTGTCTGATGAGTGCGTAGCACGAAACTCGGACTTACAGCAAAATCTTGCCTCTTTGATATCATATATATAACTAGCTCTACACTTTATGTGTATTGAGCACTCTTTAATGGGATCAGCCACTTCCTCATACGATAATATGTACTTATTGACTGAGTGGGAGGGCCGTACGGGAAAATATTTGGCTCAAGGTTATGCCGTACGGAACGAGCGCGGCAAGGTCCGTACAAATGACCGAGAGCCAAATATTTTCCCGTACGGCCCGACCTAACTCAGTCAATAAGCATTTTATCATATGACAGCGTTTTTGAATTAAAAAAAATGAAATAAAAGCGCGCGGAACTTCAAGCCGGGAAGATATGGGTTTGTACGGCCCTGTCGCGAAAAGGCGTACGGCCCCCATCACGTGACCATTTCCCAAAGGTGTTTTAAGAGCGCGCGTATGGCCGAAATACGGTTCATACGATAATATGTTATGTACCAAGAATAGCCATTACCTAGTATACACTACTAGACAAAAGGGCCAAGGCGAGGTGTCCAAAGTCGGTGCTTTGTTGAAAGCAGACTTTTATTATTAACCAGTGAATCCATATCTCAGGTAAAAGACTTCCTGGCACGTTTTGCAACTATTCCAGATATGCTGGAACTTGATCATTTAACAGTATCGGGAGATGTGACATTTGGCAAGGGTGTGACTCTCAAGGTAAAAAGACCGTTATCTCCTTGCATGTACCTGTGTTCTGACAGTGGGTTATTGTTTTCAACAGGGTACAGTCATTATTATTGCTAATCATGGCGACAGGATTGACATCCCAACCGGAGCAGTCTTAGAGAACAAGATAGTGTCTGGAAATTTGCGAATCCTTCAACATTAATGCCACTTTGCGTGTAATGAAATGGACGATTTTTTTTCTGCTATCTTGCTGTAAGATCTGACAGTAAATCAGCCCCACATTCTAAAAGCTTCAAAAGTAATGACTTTTTATTATTAAAGCAGTGAGATAATGAAGTATAATAATTATACACAGGTAATTTTAAATCATTTTTACAGATAATGTATTTAAGACCAATGACTAGAGTACAAACACTAAAACTGTGCAACAAAAATATCACTAAATACTGCTAAATTATGCTAATTCTATTGTATTCTATTGTTTAATTAACACTATTTTGTAGTAAATAGTGGAAAGTGTTGCACACATTTAATGATTGTTCTCTAGCCTGCGTCACATCGGGACAAACCACGGTTAAGTGTGGTTTCTGCGGATGTGACGCAGGCTACCAATGACTGTCAATTTACACTCGTGCGATGTCAGATTATGACAATCGTCTATAAACCAGTGAAGCAGCTGAAATGCAGTCAGCAGTTTATTATAGATGGGCGTGCAATGACGTAGTTTGTTTACTTCCAAAATATCAAAAAATAAGCAACCTGAACTCATATAATTCAAGGTTATGTTACTCTCAATCAAAAGCTGAAAATTTTAGAGCAAACGCCCTTTTATTTTCGAGACGTCGGCATTTCAAAACTACAAAATCTATAGAAAACATTCAGTAGTCGACAACATTATGCCCACCACGGTCATTTCTATGAGTTCTACGTAAACATTGGCGCGCACCTATAGAAACTTGSCTTTTCTTAAAAGAAAGTAAAAGTTATGATAATAAAAAATAATCAATGATGATGATCATTATAATTGTCATAATTAATGAATAAAAATAACAATAAATGAATAAATACATCAAGTCTAGATGTAAGCTATTAATCAAAGATCGAAACCGCATGGGAGGTGGGCAAATTGAGCTGTAAATTATTTCCATTTCATGTAGAGTGCCACGGAATGCACATATTCAGTTCTTCGCATTTCTATCAAATCTACCCCGATTTATTGTGCCAATTCCTCGGTTTTCTATTGCCAAAAACACTATTTTGTACTAAGTACTACATAACATTTGTTTCACGGATTTAGAGCGCACACAATTTTGATGTTTTTTCGCGCGCTGTAAAAAGCTATGGCTATAGTGATATTGAAATACTCCTTTTAAGSACTAGTACTACTACTGTGAGCCAATCAAATTTAAGTATTCGAATAGAGATATACTACATGTTATGGCCTCCAGTATACTTCTTTTCGATGTTTTGGCGTTGGAGCGGATTTCTTACGAATATGCATGTAAACTCTGAGATTTATGGTACTCAGTTTACATTCGAATACAAATCCAGAGCGTGTGGCTTCGAACCCAGATCCCGATCGTGTKAGTACGGCTTAATGATATATCGTGCACCCATGACGGCGAGGGGAGGGAGCTCCTTTGCCCTGCGCGCACCAGATTCTCTCTACAAATTGTTTACATGCATTACGATAGTATTCTCTGGTAATCAATTAACCTGTGTGATTGATTAAAAAATAACAAATATCAACAAACAATAGGAAATACAGCAAGAAAAACCTCCAAAAAATGTACATTTTACATGTAATATACTTCCATTTACTAGGCAAATCAAGCAAAAATCAAAACAAACATATTTTGTCTATGGAAAAATCGAYTTAACGATTTTGGCGACTTGTTTTGGCGAAGAAAGGAATATTTATATCTCATGCATTTCTTTTTTATCACATTGCATTTCTATTCCATTAATTCTTATTGATCTTTGCTTTTGGCTCCGTTTCTTTCCGAGTCCCTTAGTCCACTCTTTATTCAGTAAACAGAAGAGTGGAGGAGGCCTGAGTACTAGCATATCGGTCGCCATTTTGTTGAGCTGTCAGAGTCTCTCATAAAAACAGGTGTCAGAACCACGAATTTATAGAAATGGTAACATAAAATCAGAAGATAGCACGAGTAGCTAGGTAGAACTACTTATTAGTGCACTTGTTWCCAGCAAAGAGAAATGAGTTTGACAAGTGGTGAAATTATCACGCTGAATGTCGGCGGAAAACGGTGAGTAAGTACAACATCAACAAAGCCACTCTATTCAACCGCAACAACCTTAATTCTCGATAATATCATTGTGTAGTCATTTTACGTCAAGTACAATGTAGCTTTTGGCTCTGTTTTTGCTTGTTGTACCTTAATGTTTGCTTTAACTGTAAGAATTGACCGATAATTCCGTCAAATTACAGTGTTCCYATCACAGCTTACAAATTGTGTACGAAAATGGTCGTTTATCGTTCGTTTATTTTTGTTAAGCTTATTATTGTTTATATGATAGTTCCATTATAGTGTTTTCTTTATTTGATGTTTAYAATTTTCAACCGTGGCTAAGCCAAAGTCATGTTTTCATTTCGTATTTGTTAATTTGAATTGATGATGTTAATTAATATTACTTAATAATGTGTAGCCTCTCTCACAGGCGTTCTTAGTCT